CTAGCAAACTAAAGATCAAGATGAAAGATTTTTACTCACAATAGTCTAGAAATGAAATCCTCTTGCTAGATCTACACTTGATTCTTTCACCAAAACACTTTGCAAGAAACTTGGCCTTCAAGGTCCGCACCAAAATGTGAGAAATAAGTCTTCAAATGGACAAGAACACCAAGAATACTCAAAGGGTGTATGGTTTTCGAAATGGAGAGGTTGGAGGCTGGAAAGGAAGCCCTAACTTGAAGTTAAGGTGCTTAAATATGGAGAAAACCCTAAACACTCATGGGCTTGGGTTGCTACACTCGGCACGTCGTGGCCACTCTACTACCACGTCGTGGAGCCTTCCAAAACGCGCATTCACCAACTTGCATTCAACGTCGTGGCACTCTACACACCACGTCGTGGCATATTGTTTTCCTAAAAACCATGTCTTTGACTTCCTTATACCATCCACTGATCCATTATGGGAAATGGGTGTTACAACTACTCATAGTTATGTTATCCTAAGTTTGTATGTTGATGATATGCTTATCATTAGAAGTGATGAAAAGATGATAAGGTCAACTAAGGATATGTTAAGATCTAAGTTCGACATGAAAGACATGGGTTTAGCTGATGTGATTCTTGGAGTCAAGATCATGAGAACCTAGGATGGCTTGATATTAAGTCAAACACATTATATGGATAAGATTCTTAAAACGTTTGCTAAGGGAGATACGAGAATAGATAGAACTCCTGTTGATACTAGTCAACATTTATATAAAAATAGAGGAGAGAGTGTTGCACAAGTGGAATATTCAATAATCATTGGCAGTCTGATGTATCTAATGAATTGCACTAGACCTAACTTAGCATATGCTATAAACAAGATAAGTAGATATACTAGTAAACCCAATTCTGAACAATGGAAGAGCATTACTAGAGTGTTAAGGCAGTTGATATATATATATATATATATATATATATATATATATATATATATATATATATATATATATATGTGTGTGTGTGTGTGTGTGAGTATGGATTTCATTATGGCATACATCCAACTATACCTAAATAATACAACGATGTAAATCAGATATTTGATATAAAAGATTCTAGATCTATAAGTGGTTATATGTTTACACTTGGAGGTGCGGCTATATATTGGAAATCATAAAAAAAACTGTTATAGCCAGGTATACGATGGAATCAAAATTTATTGCCCTAGATATATGTGGTGAAGAGGTGGAGTGGTTACGTCAGTTTGTGGAGGACATTCCTAGATGGCCTAACCCTAATACGTCGGCAATCGAAAGAGCTCAAAGTACAATGTATGATGGGAAGTCAAGGCACATTAGACGTAAACATAAAACAATACGACAACTAATCTCTATAGGAGTTATCTAAATTTACTATGTGAAGTTAAAAGATAACATTGCGGATCCGCTTACAAAAGGTTTGAGTATATAGGTAGTTTATAATTCATTGAGAGGAATATGACTAAAGCCCTTTGAATGAATAAATTCACACAAAGGAAACCTTACCCAGAAGAATGGAGATCCCAAGATATGAGTTTAAAAGGACAACCTAGTTGTATGAGTGAGGGAGGTCACTGTCGGGTGGGGTGTTAATAAACTTCCTAGTCCATTTCTATTATTAGTGACAAGTTAGGCTAAGAATATGGCTTTTAATGATTATTTGAATCACTTATGTGAGAGAGAAGTGGGGTCGCTTCAAAAGGAGTTATGGGGGCCTAGGTTCTAAGAGCTCTTGCAGAAGCATGTTACGTTTCATGACCATAACGAACATGGCGATACATATATGCCCTTTTTAGGAAGACTCTTGTGTGAATTATACTGTCGTTTATATAAATGGCAGCCCGGTTCAAGAATATCGTGTCTACTAACAACTACGAGATTAATTATAGTCCGTAAGGGATGGTTTAAATGGTAAGACCTACCTATCCTATGCAAGATTTAACTATTGGAAATTTTGTATGAATATTTTATGTGTAGAGACCGATCAACATTTATGTGGAGGATTGTTGGAAAAGTTAATAAGAATTATGTAGTTTTATTAAACTTGGACACAATTATATATATATATATATATATATATATATATATATGTCAATCCTTAGTGGGTTATGAACTCCTCGGTGAGAGCTTCGAAACCATATATGTTGTGTCCAAAAATAAAGAATGAGTGAATGCGATATTTATACTCAAAGTTGAGTATTTGGAATAATACTTAGCAAAACAAATGGGCATGGAAATGTGTCCCACATAGGAGTAAAAAGAAAACTCTTAGTGGGTTTATGTCCATGGTAGTGTAAAGGCTTACAAGCTGCTTTGTATTATTTTACTCCAAGACCTATGTGTATGCAGGGGGTTGCAAATTATGGGTTTTGTAGACAAAAATCACCAAACTCGTGTGTGGGCGCGACTTGCAGACACAAATGCAACTTCGAAATTCTAGGCTCGTGCAAGCCATGTATTTTTCCCAGAACTTTACCATTTTTGGCGCGACTTGCAGACACAAATGCAACTTCGAAATTCTAGGCTCGTGCAAGCCATGTATTTTTCCCAGAACTTTACCATTTTTGTCCCTATTATAACTTTGTGACTGATGCATTTACTGTGAGATTAATGCATAATTAACTCATTTAATTTTGAATTAATGAATATACTTACATATATCAGTATATAAGGAGACATATGCTTCTCATTCGAATACACCTGAACGAATACTCTTTTCTCCTTCTCTCTTCATATATTTCCTAACGAATTTTTCAGGAAAGTGGTCTAATCCAACATTTTACACTGCTTCAGTTGTAGTACCCTGGAAACAAACGATGAATCTTTTTAAAGGAATCATGTCCACCACGAGCTTCAACATTCCGTTTATTACTAACTTTGTTTTGTAGATACGAAGTCATTATAGAAAACGCATAAAAGAACTAACAATTTATTGGTGTAGAGATGAAGCGGTTCTAAGTCTTCTATTCCTATGGTTGATTGCATATTATTGTAATTTACTTTTCAAGCATTTAGTTTAATCTAACGTTTGAAAGTGACACCCTGATACACTTCACATTATTGTTACCTTGTATTTATTTGGTATATGTTTAATGCAATTTAAGGGAAATACAATGAAGTTGTTACTTGTTAGATATCAATATAAATAAGGTTTTAGGGTGTTATCATCAGGGCCGATCCTGAACACATGCGGGATGTGCGATTGCATAGGGCATGCGTTATCACTAATCTATCGCTAATTCGTTCACTATTCGTCATTACTTTTTCACTAATATGTCGCTATTATATCCCTATCTGTTGCTAATCCGAAATTTTTGAGACCTATTTTTCATTTTTTTTTCATACATGACCTTCAAAATCAACAAACCGACCATAATTATCATTAAAACAAATACGAGATTGTCAAGTAACCATTAAATGTGAATTCGAAGTACTTGCACCAACAATCTAGATACTTTTGGGTTTTGGGGGCACACTTACTAAATAAAAAGGCATATGTTTAATATGCTTGGTTAACCAAATTTTATCAGAATTGTTCTCTAATAATTTAGGTGTTTAGATTGATGAAATCTGTCTTCTTAGCTACCATGTATGTTATGTGTATTGTAGGTCTTATAAATGGTTCACTTGAAAAAACTACCAGGCCATCAAAGAGATGCAAGTCTCGCGTTTGAGTTAAACGGGTATTTTTTGTAGTAGTTAAACTTGAATAATATTTTTTTAAGAATTTTGAAACTTAATTACCATCTTAAGTCATTTTTCTATTATAAGTGTGATATTTGTGAGATACTATCATGCTACCTTATAAATCAAGTCACAAAGAAAATATACCACATCTATATAAGTATATGAAAGATGATATGCTTCTCTACTAACATTAAAGTGGCAATGGAAACTTTCCAAAACAAGCATACATTTCAAATCGACTGTCACTAGTAAAGAGCCATTGAGATATAAGAAGGGCTACTAATTTAAGTTTTGTCATTTAATAGAGAGCCATTGAGATATAAGAAGGGTTACTAGTACTAGCTGGTTTAAGTTTACTAAATGTCCTTCAAAAGTCATAAACTCGGCACTTATAAAAATAATGCATATATATTAATACAACCAACACCAAAGTAAACAAAGAATTAGAGTGAGATCTGCATTATAAACATTTATAAAAAATGAATTGATAATTGAATTTGTTTTACAGAATAATAAACTATAGTTCTGGGATATAAAATATCTTTTTTTTTAACAACAAATCTAAATACACTACTCCTAAATTTCCACCTATGTCTCTCACGGGACTTGAACCCTCAACCTCAAGGAGGGATGACAACACTGGATACTGCTAGGCTAGAAGCCCTTTGGTATAAAATATCTAAATTAACAAACAAATAACTTTAATTTACTATTATTGTTTAGAATGATGTAATATTAAATATTTGTTATGTGACTACGATTGAAAACAAGATCAAATGTGATATTTACAGGTAATTACTGACTGAAAGGAATAATTTATTTAGTGATTATGACAAGAAAAATAAAATCACTCAGGAGACAACTAATTATTCTTGGTAATAAACAAAATATTAATGGAAATTTAATAGAAAACTATTATTTAAGAAAAAAACAACAATAAAAGAGGCATGCATATGCATATCCATGTGGGAGAATTTAAGTAAAAATGGCCATAGATACTTCCCATGTACCTTCCTCTCCAACAAAACACTCCTTTCTTTATTATTATCGCAATTATTTTTATTTTTTGCTTTTTTGGACTTATTATGCAGAAAGGTTGGAGCCACATCATCGCATGTGGACCCCATATCATCTTCTTCTTTATTTATATCAATTGACACTGATAAACCCTAGCTATCCACCGTCAATTTCCCTAACGTCTCTATCTACATTCTAGATCTCCTTCACGCATTTCAAACTTTCAGCGTTTCCCACTCCTCCAACAGTGTATCATTGAGTTTCTCAGAGCAATTTATGGCTTCCGCTTGCGTAAATAGCATCGGGATGTCGCCTGAGAATTTATTGGAACGTTCACAGACTTACTCTTCATACGGTTGGTTGAAGCCTCGTTTCTCATTAGGCCGTGAAATCACAGATGGAGATACATCCAAATCCAAGACAAAGAGGTTTTCTTCTCCGGCGAAGGAGCTTGCAGATCTGCCGGAGGAATCAGATCCAAACGAGTTTGATGGTTTTCAGTTCAGTCTTGAAGATCCGGTTATGATGCTTCCCGCCGACGAGTTGTTCTCCGACGGTAAACTTATTCCGCTGCATTTGTCAGTGATCCGCCAGGAAGTTGCTTCGTCGACAACAACGATAATGTCCTCTCCAGATACTCCGAGGTCTCACCGGAGAATGGACGACGCCTTTGCTTCCGATCCCTACTTGCTTTCCCCTAGGGCGCCGAGGTGTTCGAGCAGGTGGAAAGAGCTTCTCGGTTTCGGAAAGCTTTACCAAAGCAGCAACAACAATGCTAAACAAGACAACAACAAACGGACATCGTTAGCGTCTTCGCACAACGCGACCGGAGCAACAAAGTCTATTAGACATTTTCTTCACAGAAGTTCAAAATCTTCAAACGATTCGTCTGTTAACCTTCCGTTACTCAGGGATACAGATAACGAATCTGTGTCTGTCTCTTCGCGCCCATCTCTTTCTTCCTCTTCTTCCAGTCACGATCTCGACGATCTTCCCCGTCTCTCTCTCGATTCCGATAAGCCTGGGAAAGTGAACTTGCACGCAAACCCTAGCAGTCGTCCAAAAACTAGAATGGTAAAAACGAGGACACAGTCAACGGAATTAAGAGCATCAACGCGCGTTGGCCGAAGCACGATGCGTCGTTCATCGGACTCCGCAATCACCACCGCCCGTGGCGTGTCAGTCGATAGTCCACGAATGAACTCCTCAGGAAAAATCGTTTTCCATAGCTTGGAGCGAAGTTCGAGTAGTCCAAGTAGCTTAATCGGTGGACCTAGATTCAAACATAGAGGAATGGAGAGGTCATATTCCGCCAATGTGAGAGTCACACCGGTTCTAAACGTTCCGGTTTGTTCCCTTAGAGGTTCATCCAAGTCCGGCGGTATGTTTGGGTTTCCGATATTCTCCTCCCAGCAGAAACGGGAATGTTCTAGTACAAGTAGTAACGGCGGAGCAAACCGTAGTCAACGATTCGCCGGAAAGTCTCGAACAGATTGTTCTTAATTCAGCATTCAGTAATCGGTATAATTTGATCCTCTTGATAACTGTTTTCACTTTTTTTTAGTGTTCTGAGTCCATTACCTGCAGCAATCAATCAATGGCGTTAGCGTAGGATAGCTTTAGGCATCTAGCTCTAGCATATGTTCCATTGCATTTTAACTTTCTCTTTTTGTTGAATCATGTATCTATTTTTGTTGATTTCTTTTCACCGCTAATTCCTAATGTTAGAATCAGATTCTTCCCAGTCTTCAAACATAACTTTTTATTTTTATTTATTTATTTATTTATTTTTGTAATTTAATAATGAAACGTCTGTTTGATAAATGGGGTTACTGAATGCAAAATATAATGTTGTCGGTAAAGGAATCTGGTTTAATATAATATAATAATTTGGATATATGTAATTTAAAAGAGGCATGTTATCTCAGCTGGTTTTGCCAGACGAGATAATTAAAAGTACAAATTCATTGAATAAATAATTGACGGTTATTTTGTGTATTAAAATAATAATTAAAACAGTTTTGTAATATGTGAAATGATGGTGACACTTTATACGAATATAAATAGTGTCAGGCAGTGTTGCCGGTGACAGCTTTGCTTTGCTGCGTTGCCTCTGCCCCAGCCCGGCAGCCCCCTATCTCCACCATCCGCCCCCTCTTGGCTCTTGCCTCTTGCCTCTTGCCTCTTCCTTTTATTTACCTCCGGACAAAACAACTTCAAAATTATTTTATTGCAAGATAATAACCTATTTTATTATATTTCGATTTAATTTCATATACTTGTTTATAAAACAAATATGGCAATGCCTTGTACATGTTAAAATAGGATAATTACCGGAACGACCACTTTTCTGTGTAATGAAAGGGATAATAACTTAAAAGGTAATATATTATTGGATTTGTACATATTTGGTTACTGAGTTTTTTTTGTCTATATTTACCCCTTCAACTTGTTAAACTGTACACATTCAGTCATACTCCAGGTTAGGCGGGAGAAATGACTTAATAGGGTAATATATTTTTCATTTTGTACACATTTAGTCCTTGATATTTTTATACACATTTAGTCTTTAATATTTTTTTGTTTCAAAATAAGTCATTTTTGTTTTTGTACTCATTCAGTCCAAAAAAACTTCATTTTTAAATAAGGCAAAACTCTCTAATTATAAATCTATTATTAAGAAAAAACGTTTATTCCAAAATACATTTATCGAAAATCAGAGTAATATAGGAAACGCGGAATCCTCAATATTGTTGATGAGTGTGTACAGTCCTGCATTCGCCTTCTCACGATCAACGATAGAACCTAAAAACATAAACAACTAGGTAAGTGTCACACCCCAAAACCAAGAACGGCGGAAACGTTCTGGGGCGGAGGACGTCATGTTTAGTATCACGAGATATGTATATGGTAAGCAAGTAATGGACAACCATTTCATTTCGAAAGAAAAGTGTTTACAATGTGTGTGTTCACAGAACATAGAATTCATACACAAATAACAAAACAAGACTTGAAGCTATAATGCTTCATCTTCTGAATCTCCAGCACGAGCACCTATCTAATAGTCTCCTGAGAATACAAGTTATTTGAAAGAGTTGATCAGCAATTAAGCTGGTGACTTCATAAGAGTTTAGTGACGTAAGTAAGTGTAAAGTGTTGTTAAAAATGTATATGTAAAATGGTGTTGAAAATGTAAGTTCTGTTTTGGAAAGTTCGTCTGTTCCTCTAGAAAATCATATATTTCCTACATGAACGAAAGTTAAGTAAAATGTCACTACAAGCCTTTCTATGGGTACTAAGTGGGTACAAGTTATATAAGACTCAGAGTAAACAAACAATCGATTGTGCGCATCTGCCCTAAGCTCACAACCCAACGAGGAAAAGAAATTAAGGCGGATAGCACACATCCCATTGGTTGTTAGATCATTGTCATATATAACCCTGGTGTATTCACTTGTTACTCATGGAGTTAATTGTAATGGTTCCTTTATATGTAATGAAAAGTTGTTTAAGAAAACCTATATTTCTTATAGTAAAATAGTGACTACTTTTATAATAGCTTAGTTTATACTGCTATATATAACCTAATATCGGATAGAAAGTTAATTGAATGAATCTACCCTAAGCCCACAACCCAACGAGGAACATGGAGTAAGGCGGAAAACACACATCCAACTACCTATTGGGTATTAGTTTTATATATAAACATGGTGTATAAACTACGGTATTATAGAGTTACTCACCTAAGGTCTTTTAAATTGTACTGGTCTAATAAAATGGATTAAACCCTTTACTGGGAAGTTTCTAGTTTTGTATACCAAAAGTACTGATTTTGGAAAGTATGTTTTGTACTAGAAAAACTATGTTTGACTCTGTGTCCTATAACCTGACCCATACCTGGTACCCTTATGATGACTTAATGTATACTAAGCATACATGTATATAGAATCGGGTAGATAATAGATTGGGTGAATCCATTCCAAGCCCACAACCCAACGAGGAACAGGAAATGAAGCGGAGAGCACACATCCTATTAGCTGTCGGACCCTATTGGTATATATGTATCCTGTGATGTATATATTAAGGAATCATAAGACTAGCATTATGGTCCTATCTTTTAATCGCAACCTTCTACCAAGGCATCTTCCGTTATGTGCTAGACTCGACTGTTCCCTTTGTCGTTTGTAAAAATGTATATTTTCCCTAGTTTATAACTATCTTGACTCGAAAATAGTTTAAGTTTGACTTTCAAGTGGTACTGTCACTTTATGAAAGTAATGGGAAATGTAAGTACACAGTTGTCGTTTATAATGACATGCGGATGCACTAATAACCTAAAAACATATTTGTTTTATTACGGTCATAATGTGAAGGCTAGAACCCCTACTAGACGCTCTCCCTATCAAGAGATTAAGGGTACTAAACGCAACCTCTGCAAATTCTTGCAAGCCGTGTAATTCACATTAAAGTTATATGATCATGTATACCCAATATAACTATCACCTTTTGTTTAAAACAATGAGTTAGTGATTCATTGGTATAATTAGATCCTGTATGTGTTCTCATGCTATAGCAACCTAACTTGTTTGTTCTGTTTGTTTCTCTTTATTGTGTGTTCTCTCTGTATGGTATTGTTTGATTCTCTTCACTGTATGTTCTGTTATGGTATTGTCTCTTTGGGTGCTTCATTGTACTAGAAGTAATGAATAGCATTCTCCTAAACTATACATATTATAGCTTACTAATGTTCTACTTGGACTGTTATTGAAAAGACTCATTTATCTACTAAGTTATGCTTGTACTTTAAAACAGAGTTTTGTATAACTAAAAAGTAACATAACTTTAAAAGAGTTTTGAAATGTTTTGACAACTTATAAGTGACATAAGTAACATTTTGAAAGATGTTTATAACAAACATTTACACAATTATCATTGTTTTCAACTTGTATTCCCGCTTAAAATAGTTAAAATAGCTAAAAGATTCATTACGGGGTATGAACTCACCTGATGTGGGTGATTCAAACGGGTATGCGTGTAAGGATGAGAAGTTCTACGAATGAAGTCCCGAGACACAATAAGTCCTAAATGACATATAAGGACACATATTGACATGAATATAGTGTTTATAAACAACTATATGAAAGGAAACACCTTCCGGGACTAGGAAACACCTTGATCAAGTGTTATAGGTACCGAAGGGTTGCATCGAAAGGTTGTATGGCATGGCATTGGAGTTTATGGCCCAAGGACCACTCCTTATGGAGTTTACGGCCTAAGGTCACTTCCCCCATGAGTTTACGGCCGTAAACCCATGGTACTAAGTGCCATTGTGTGATTTAAGGTCTTATAAGTCAAGGGCAAGCCTTCTATGATCAAGTCCAAGCCTTAGGAAAGCATTAGGGGCACAATAAGACTGCTTTGTAGAGTTTACGGCCTAAGGACCATATCCTTATGTGTTTACGGCCGTAAACTCCTATGGGGACATGTTTTGATTGTTGTTTAAGGTCTTAAACACTTCTAGGAAGGATCAAGACTAGTATCCTAGGCTTAGGAAGGGACTAGGGTTCATTTAACCCCATTTAGAAGGGTTTACGGCCCAAGAACCTCCCTTGGCCGTAAACTCCTTTGATCCTATGTTTCTTGGTGATTTTCAAGTGTTATCAAGTTCATATTAAGCACACAAGAAGCTAGGGCAAGTGTACTTACAAGATAGAAGCTTGATTGGGTGTTTAAGGTCCAAGAACACTAGTGTGTGTTCTTGGTGTTTTTGAAGATCTAAATGAAAATCAATAATGAATGGATGAAATGATGTATAAACACTAGGTGATAGGGTATAACAACAAATCAACTCAAGAAAAACTTACGATTTCGGAAGATCGGGTGAAGAACGGGATGCTACTTGAGAGAGAAAGGTAAATGTTCTTGAGGGTGAAAGTGAGAAATGAACCAATTGGGGAGTAAAGTCATGTCTAAGCCATGAGTTCACGGCCATGATAGAGTTCACGGCCCAAACTCCCTTTGTTTGGCCGTGAACACCTAACTACGGTGTTGGTTGTTCCATTGCTATCTCGATATTCTAGAAATCACTTCCTTTTATCCTTTCGATTCATGAATAATTAATAAAATTACTCAAACGGACTTTAAACCGGCTAAAAATTAGCAGAAATGAAATTGACTTTTAATTGAAGTGTTGGACTGTAGAGTTTGTACGAATGAAAATTTCGGGTTGTCACATCATCCCCCCGTTAGATGGAATTTCGTCCCGAAATTAGCTCTCTTAGCATTACTACTGGGGTTGCTCTCTTCTGATTGGCAGAATACTCACTCGTAGACTTGGCAACTTTGCCCTTCTGTTCATGATCGGATTCATACTTGGTCCATCTATCACCACCTCGTGTATACAAGCCGTATATAATTAGGATTAGTAAGACGGTCGGATGTGCGACTCTGCCCCAGGTCCACAACCCAACGAGGAACAGGAGAAAGGGCGGAAACACACATAC